AAGCGGGAGCAGAAGAACGGCGGCCAGAGCAGAGGGAGGAGGGGATACTGTACTTGTACTGACGTCTTTCTTGGCGTTGGGATCAACACCGTGCTCTAACAGCATCTCCATTATGTTGGCATGACCCTGAAAGCACGCCCAATTCAATGGTGTCCAGCCACGCTGTGGGATGATGCATCGGCATGACGTACGGGTACTGCATCATCAGCATCATCATGTACAGGATAGGGGGGTTAAAAAGGGAGTAGAAGGTGCTGAACTAACGCTGTCCATGGATTTAGGATCAACACCCTGCTTCATCAGCAGCTCCACCACCTCAGTATGGCAGTGAATGCACGCCCAGTGTAGTGGTGTCCAGCCATTCTGTGGGATGTTGCATCGGCATGACGTACAAGTACCGACGGTATCATTGGTACAGGTTGGGTCAGCAAAAGGAGAGGCGAAGTTCTGTACTGACCTTGTCTTTGGCTTGAGTATCAGCACCCTGCTTCATCAGCAGCTCCACCACCTCAGTATGGCCCTGAATGCACGCCCAGTGTAGTAGTGTCCAGCCACGCTGTGGGATGATGCATCGGCATGACGTACAGGTAAGGTATCATTGGTACAGGTTGGGTCAGCAAAAGGAGAGGCGAAGTTCTGTACTGACCTTGTCTTTGGCTTGAGTATCAGCACCCTGCTTCATCAGCAGCTCCACCACCTCAGTACGACAGTGAATGCACGCCCAGTGTAGTGGTGTATAGCCACCTGTGGGATGATGCATTGGCATGACGTACAAGTAAGGTATCATTGGTACAGGTTGGGTCAGCAAAAGGAGAGGCAAAGTTCTGTACTGACCTTGTCTTTGGCTTGAGTATCAGCACCCTGCTTCATCAGCAGCTCCACCACCTCAGTATGGCCCTGAATGCACGCCCAGTGTAGTGGTGTCCAGCCATTCTGTGGGATGTTGCATCGGCATGACGTACAAGTACCGACGGTATCATTGGTACAGGTTGGGTCAGCAAAAGGAGAGGCGAAGTTCTGTACTGACCTTGTCTTTGGCTTGAGTATCAGCACCCTGCTTCATCAGCAGCTCCACCACCTCAGTATGGCCCTGAATGCACGCCCAGTGTAGTAGTGTCCAGCCACGCTGTGGGATGATGCATCGGCATGACGTACAGGTAAGGTATCATTGGTACAGGTTGGGTCAGCAAAAGGAGAGGCGAAGTTCTGTACTGACCTTGTCTTTGGCTTGAGTATCAGCACCCTGCTTCATCAGCAGCTCCACCACCTTGGCACGACAGTGAATGCACGCCCGGTGTAGTGGTGTATAGCCACGCTGTGGGATGATGCGTCGGCAAGACGTACAGGTATTGCATCATCAGCATCGCCATGTACAGGATAGGGGGGTCAAAGAGGGAGTAGAAGGTGCTGAACTGACCTTGTCTTTGGCTTGAGTATCAGCACCCTGCTTCATCAGCAGCTCCACCACCTCAGTATGGCCCTGAATGCACGCCCGGTGCAGTGGTGTATAGCCATACTGTGGGATGTTGCATCGGCATGACGTACAAGTACCGACGGTATCATTGGTACAGGATGGGTCAGCAAAGCGAGAGTGGAAGTTCCGTACTGACCTTGTCTTTGGCTTCAGTATCCACACCGTGCTTCAACAGCATCTCCGCCACCTCGATATGACCCTCAATACACGCCCAGTGCAGTGGTGTATCGCCATCCTGTCGGATGATGCATCGTCATGTCGTACAGGTAAGCATCATCATCAGCATCATCATGTGGTACATGCACCATCATAGGGGGGTGATATTCTGCACTGACGTTGGCCTTGACGTTTGTATCAGAACCGTACTTCATCAGCATCTCCACCACCTCGACATGACCTTTGTTGCAGGCGTAGTGCAGTGGTGTATGGCCATCCTGTGATATGATGCATCGGCAAGACGTATAGGTTTCAGCATCATGTACAGCATAGGGGGGTAAAAGAGAGAGTGGGAGGTACTGTACTGACTGACCCTGTCCTTGGTTTCAGTATCAACACTGTGTTTCAACAGCATCTCCACCACCTCGACATGACCTCTGTTGCAGGCATAGTGTAGTGGTGTATGGCCATGCTGCGGGGATGACGTCCAGGTAAGCATCATCATCGTGTACACAGCATTCAGTGACACATTCAAAGTGTAGCTACACAACATCATACCAAGCAGCATACGTACCACATCAACTTTGCATTTGGCAGCATCTGGAATACGTTGATGGTTCCAACTGTTCAACAGCTGCAGCGCCTCTTGTGGATCTGATGAATTGCACGCCTTGTACAGCTGCTCTCCAACATCACTCATGATGATCTCTCTCTCTCTCTCTCTCTCTCTTTCTCTCTCTCTCTCTCTCTCTCTCTCTCAATACATTCGCTTTTTGCTTCTACATGTACTTTATCCATCACCAATCTCATGAGCCTCCAACTCGTCTGACTATCCCAATGTCGTTAAAACCGGCGACCGGTCAGCGCGCCTTGCTCCACCCTACCTTTATGCGCCAAACAACTCACCTCTGACCAACTGCTCTTGGTAACAGTTGCGAAGACAGGTGTAGTTGGTTGCCGAAGCGCACGCTGTTGACAGTGAGGCGAGGTCAGGAACCTTACTAAAAAGGGCGGGGAGGCAGCGAAGCTTTTAACCAAAAACGCTCTAGCGTCGCAACAAAGTCTCCAACCAAGAGAGTCCCGTACCAAACAAAAGCGATCAAGCACCACACACAAAGCAAGACACGTCAGACAGCCCTCTGATGCCGATATCCGTACGAATGCCGAAGAGGTGATAAAGAAGGGGCAAAGCAGAAGAGGAGGCTGAAAAATGCAACACATGCTATGAAAATGTTCATGTTTCTTGTTGTTGAGATGTCTAAAAATAGTCAAAACGGTCTGACGAAAAAACTTCAAAGCGCTACAAAACACATTTATGTGTAATACGTCTACGGCAGCCGGTTAGCAGCCCTTTTATTATCCGTCTGCCATGGCAGCCAGAAGATGTTCCAAGCTCGTTGGCTACCCGGTTTAACACCTCCAGCCATATCAATCTCATCTCACGGCCCGCATGTGCATTTTTGACGGCAATCGGGCTGACAAAATATTTTTTTGCAGCGCATATCCAAAGGGAACTAGCAGTGAATCATGAGCTCTTCCCGTTGCTACAATCGACCGCAACTGTAAGAAAGTCTTTGACCTTTTGGCAGTTGGCAAGCCCGAGCGGCGAGGCACATATCATTGTCAGTCAATACTGTGAGGTGCGGCCCTATGAGCGCAAAACAACTGGTCGCAGCGCGGGGGAGTCTCACAAGCCTTGTCCGCTCCCCTCATTGGCCTCGTGCTCGCTCTTGTACGACCTTATCCTCTTCGCTGAACGCGTCCTCGAATATCGGTGTTCAGCGCCACGGCAAGAGCAGCCAAGACAGTCTGGACCGCCATTTCCGCCATGAGGACGTCGAGCCGCAAGCCAGCGCGAGCACAAAAAGACAAAAAGAAGCACAGGACGCACGATCACCGTGAGCATGTCTCGCGTTCGCTCCGCAGCCTTTCCTGGAATGTGCAACTGGCTGGCAAGCGCGACAGACCGATTACGTGGCTTCCTTGCCGCTCAAAACAGCAGCCGCCCTAACTCCGAGATCTAAAGGCTTTCGATCCGGGCTGTCTTGGCCAACGCTGCAATGATCGTTCGAGCTGCGCCTTGACGCCAGTGGCTTGGAAAGCAGCACAGCTAGAGGGCTGATCCTTGCCCGCGAGCTTTTCTACGGCGCTCTTCAGCCCAAGCTTGCGTCTTACGCGCAGCTGACGAAACAGTCTGATGCCCGACTTGCGGCACCCCGACTGGCGCGGACACCGCTACCTCCACCACGTCGACATACAGCTCGGCGATGATGTTGTCAATGCCATCGTCGGCACAAAGTTGCGTGCTCACAGTCTCCTGCACCTGTGTGCTGTGGCTTGAATGTGACTGTTGTTTGAATCGAAGATGAGCCGTCGTTTTCTCAAGGCCAAGATCCATTGTTTGACTCGAATAAGGCGAACAAATTCAGAATAAATTCAAAACAAAGTCAGAACAAACAGACTGTGGCCGTCAACAGAATGATCAACAAGCACTGCATCGTTCGGTATTGGACTACAAGCATAGACGTATGTCCGGAAGCTGCTGGAACACACTGGGAGATACCAGTCCTGGCTATCGTGATCAACCACTGCAGGATGACGTTTGATTATCCTTGACGGCATTCGTCAAGGAAGCCTGTGGAACATTGTGATTGTTCCTGCCACCGACATACAAGCACAGTTTGGTGGCATGACAAATTCGCGGTTGACAAAATGATCCCTCAACGAGCAGCCCCGGGAATGATCACTGGCGAATTCCTCTCTAGGGTGGTCGATGCTTGTAGTCAAAATAACACACTCCGCTTGTAGCCGAAACCCAGAACTTTATCAAAGAGCTAGCAATACCTTGCAGCAGTTCAACAAGAGCTGCAACCTCCGCTCGTGATGAGTTGGCATGTGCCCAATGATCGAACAGAGGCAGGTATCATTGATGTGTCAAGTTGAGAGTTTGAACAAATGTTCAAATCGCCGGCCACGCTGGTGATACTACCAAGGCCGTCCATGTTGGTCAGGGCGTCGTTGTCCTGCAACAGCCGGAGAACCAACACATTACACCAGACGCTTACAAACACACCCCATCGCCGCAATCCGCAACCTCCTTGTCCAAACACGTAAGATCAACATCATGCCGTCTCAGCCGACAACGTACCTCAATCTTCAGGTAACCGTCCACGCTGGTGATACTACCAAGGCCGTCCACGTTGGTCAGACCGTCGTTATTCTGCGACAGCGAGAGTAACAAAACATCACATCAGATGCTCACAAACACACCCCATCGTCCCGATCCGCTGGCCTTCTCGTTCACACAAGCCACATCAACATCATCCCCTCTCATACGACAACGTACGTTGATGTACAAGTAGCCGCCCACGCTGGTGATATTGCCAAGACCGTCCACGTTGGTCAGAACGGCATTGCCCTGCGACAACCAGAGAAGCAATACATCACATCAGACGCTCACAAACACACCCCATCATCCCCATCCGCTGACCGCCTCGCCCACACATGTCACATCAACATCATCCCCTTTCATACGACAACGTACACTTATGTGCAAGTGGCCGCCCACGCTGGCGACACTGCCAAGGCCGTCCACGTTGGCCAGGGCGTCATTACTCTGCGACAGCGAGAGAAACAATGCACGACATCAGACACGTCTCTCCGCGAATCCTTCAAACACCCTACATCAACATGACACGCCCTCTCACACGACAACGTACGTTTATGTACAAGTAGCCTCCAACGCTCGTGAGAGTTGCAAGCCCATTCACGTTGGTCAGAGCGTCATTCTTCTGCAACTGCCAGCAGAGCACAGAATAAGTCGCTCACCACCACACATTTATCTCGATTCGCCCTTGTCATGGTCATAAAATTCAAGACACACATTGGCATCACTGCCAAGTGTGATGAGCGCACACATTGCCAGACAGTGAAGGTGTCAGTGGGGTGGACGTGATATTCTGGTCATCATTTGCGCTCACGAATATAAGAAAAAGCAATAGTGACACGTCAAACTTACGTCGAATTTCAAGTCCCCGCTCACTTGGACGAGCTTGCGAAAAACTTGCAGGAGATCATTTGCCGTCAGAAGTGGGCAAGATGTCAGGCGAACGTTGCCCATGACATACGCAACGTTTGAAGGCACGTTCTCCAGCTCACAACCGATTGTACCCGAGTACGTGACGGGCAAGTCTGTGGGAGCAGCCGTGGTGATGGCCGTGGTGGTGGCCGTGGTGGTGGTCGGAGGCAATGTTGTGGTCTTTGATATTGTGCCGGCGCACATCTGGCGTGACTCAGTCAGCTCTTGGATCACATCAACCCCATTCAGCAGCAGCCGCCCGTTGCCCGTTGATGAGGTGTTGATGAAGAGGTTGCCATTGACATCAATACCGATGATCGGCTCATCCTTGACCAAAGCGGCGTAGATCACCGCCTGGTTCATCACCACGCGCAGACTGTACACGACCCAACGCGACAACATGGCGGGGGCGCACATTCACCAAAAAAAAAAAAAAAAAAAAAAAAAAAAAAAGACTTAAATTGCTGACAACTGAGAGACGTTTCATTTCTTTCAATCACATGTGGTATTTCTGTCTTTTTCTCTGTCACTCTTCTCTCTGTCTCTCTGTCTCTCTGTCTCTCTGTCTCTCTGGCATCCCTGTCACTCTGTCTCTCTGTCTCTCTGTGTGTCTCTCTCTGTCTCTCTCTGTCTCTATCATATCTGTCTCTATCTTTCTCTCTTCCTCTCTGTCTCTGCCTTTCTCTGTTTCTGTCTCTCTCTCTCTCTGTCTCCCTTCTCCTATCTCTCTCCTCATGTCCAAGTACAACGATGACCACGACCGGAGGTCTTGGCTCTGATTGTCTTAGTCTGCTGCGACGACCTGCCGTGGTGGCGGAGGATAGTGGAGTCTACCCGGCTTCATGAGCGCCAAGGCTCAGATCATAACAGAGCGCTCAAGCCAGTTAATACCGGCTGTATGTGCGCCTGTTGAGGAACCTCATTGAACTACAAGCATGGACGCTGTCCAGAAAGATACCAGGTCTGGCAATCGCGATCATCCATGACAGGTTAATGTTTGATCATTCTTGACGGCGCTCGTGAAGGACGCCTGAAGAACATTGTGATTGTTCCTGCCCCCGAGATGTAAGCACGGTCCTGTCGACTAGAAGTGGCATTTTGCTTTGTACCTTTCCCGTTTCTATTTCCTCTGTTTGCTTTGCGATCGACCACAGACAGTTCAGATTGAAAACTTACAGCAGAAAACGACAAAAAAGCCAAAAGACAATGCAAGCGTCAATGAAGCATTCAAAGAAATTTTTTACACCTATGGTCAGTGGGACCAAACTTTTAGTTCGCTGGCAACACACACGCACAGCAAACGAGCAGGCTTTTCGATGGTCAACATTCAAGGCAATGACCCACGAGATTCGTCCAAAAGGTCAATGTTTATACCCGTGAAGCTTGTCCTCTCATTCAAGGCCTCCTGATATCCTTGACAGGCAGTTGCTGGTCGGTCGAACGGCTTCAGGCCCGCAACTTGCGGATGATTGACCTCAGGTCATCAAAAGCACGCTCATCAAATGCCCTGGGCTCCATGCGCCAACCGGCAGCGAAGAGCACCACGACCGAACTAAAGACGTGTTTTTTCTGCTCAGTCTGGATCACCGCTCGGACTAGAGCCACGAAAGTCTTTTATGAGCGGTGGGAGCACTCATCCTTTGATCTTGGGCACCTTACCTTTTTGGATCCGAAGTCTGATACAACCTGGGCCAACGACTGGCACGAAGTATCTCGCGAACCAACTTATCCGTGCGTGTCCAGGCAAGGTGAGAGATTCAAGAGGTCGCGATGCCACCTTGGCAATACGTCATACTACTCACATGTAAATCAATCCATTCAAGCCTCAACATGCAATCAAGTGGCACGTCATTGCTCTGTGATAGGAATGGGTTAGTACTTGCATTCACATTACAAAGTGAACAAAAAAAAAAGTACCGGGGACAGGGGGAGAAACGACCTCGGCGAGTTGTGTTAGCCAACACACCAACTGCGATTTCATGAACTTGAAGAAAACAAATACGGGCCAGCATATGGTAAACTGACCTCGTCTCGTGCGTCAACATTTGCACCATGTTCCAGTAACACAGCCACAGAGCCCTCAGTTGTATAAGAGCAGGCGATGTGAAGAGGCGTTCTGTCGATCTGTAAAACATCATGCAGGGCCAAGATGAGGTGGCGTTCAACTGCAACGGGCAAGGCAAAGTTGTATTTGATCGAGTTTAGGGATGGAAAAGACAATAATAAGAAGACAAGTATGCAAAGGCAGGTATACAAAGTGCATCAACACGTTTAAAAAAACAAAATCAAAGGCAAAAAAAAAAAAAAAAAAAAC